AAGAACTTGAATCTCTGAATAGACCAAAAACAGACTCTGAAATTGAGACAATAATTAATAGCCTACCAACCAAAAAAACTCCAGGACCAGATGGATTCACAGCTGAATTCTACCAGAGGTACAAAGAGGAGCTGGTACCATTCCTTCTGAAACTATTCCAATCAACAGAAAAAGAGGGGATCCTCCCTAACTCATTTTGTAAGGCCAACATCATCCTGATACCAAAGACTGGCAGAGACACAACAAAAAGAGAGAATTTTAGACCAATATCTCTGAAGAACATCAATGTGAAAATCCTCAACAAAATACTGGCACATTGAATCCAGCTTCATATCAAAAAGTTTATCCACCACAATCACGTCGGCTTCATCCCTGGGATGCAAGGCTGGTTCAACATATGCAAATCAAGAAACGTAATCCATCACATAAACAGAACCAAGGACAAAAACCACATGATTATCTCAATAGATGCAGAAAAGGCCTTTGACAAAATTCAACAGTCCTTCATGCTAAAAACTCTCAATAAACTAGGTATTGATGGAACGTATCTCAAAATAATAAGAGCTATTTATGACAAACCCACAGCCAATATCATACTGAATGGGCAAAAACTGGAAGCATTCCCTTTGAAAACTGGCACGAGACAGGGATGCCCTCTCTCACCACTCCTATTCAATATATTGTTGGAAGTTCTGGCCGGGGCAATCAGACAAGGAAAAGCAATAAAGGGTATTCGATTAAGAAATGAGGAAGTCAAATTGTCCCTGTTTGCAGATGACATGATTGTATATTTAGAAAATCCCATTATCTCAGTCCAAAATCTCCTTTAGCTGATAAGCAACGTCAGCAAAGTCTCAGGATACAAAATCAATGTGCAAAAATCACAAACATTCCTATACACCAGTAACAGACAAACAGGGAGCCAAATCATGAGTGAACTCCCATTCACAATTGCTACAAAGAGAATAAAATACCTAGGAATCCAACTTACCAAGGATGTGAAGGACCTCAAGGAGAACTACAAACCGCTGCTCAACGAAGTAAAAGAAGACATAAACAAATGGAAGAACATTCCATGCTCATGGATAGGAAGAATCAATATTGTGAAAATGGCCATACTGCCTAAGGTAATGTACAGATTCAATGCCATCCCCATCAAGCTACCAATGACTTTCTTCACAGAATTGGAAAAAAAACTACTTCAAAGTTCATATGGAACCACATTGCCAAGACAATCCTAAGCAAAAAGAGCAAAGCTGGAGACATCACACTACCTGACTTCAAACTATACTACAAGGCTACAGTAACCAAAACAGCATGGTACTTGTACCAAAACAGATATATAGACCAATGGAACAGAACAGAGGCCTCAGAAATATCACCACACATCTACAACCATCTGATCTTTGACAAACCTGACAAAAACGAGAAATGGGGAAGGGATTCCCTATTTAATAAATGATGTTGTGAAAACTGACTAGCCATATGTAGAAAGCTGAAACTGGATCCCTTCCTTACAAGTTATACAAAAATTAATTCAAGATGAGTTAAAGACTTAAATGTTAGACCTAAAACCACAAAAATCCTAGAAGAAAACCTTGGCAATACCATTCAGGACATAGGCATGGGCAAGGACTTCATGACTAAAACACCAAAAACAATGACAACAAAAGCCAAAATAGATAAACATGATCTAAGTAAACTAAAGAGCTTCCACACAGGGAAATAAACTACCATCAGAGTGAACAAACAACGTACAGAATGGGAGAAAATTTTTGCAATCTACCCATCTGACAAAGGGCTAATATCCAGAATCTACAAATAAACAAATTTACGAGAAAAAAATCAAACAACCCCATCAAAAAGTGGGCAAAGGATATGAACAGACACTTCTCAAAAGAAGACTTTTATGCAGCCAACAGACACATGAAAAAATGCTCATCATCACTGGTCATCAGAGAAATGCAAATCAAAACTGCAATCAGATATCATCTCACACCAGTTAGAATGGCAATCACTGAAAAGTCAGGAAACAACAGATGCTGGAGAGGATGTGGAAAAATAGGAATGCTTTTACACTGTTGGTGGGAGTGTAAACTAGTTCAACCATTGTGGAAGACAGTGTGGCAATTCATTAAGGATCTATAACTAGAAATACCATTTGACCCAGCGATCCCATTACTGGGTATATACCCAACGGATTATAAATCATGCTGCTATAAAGACACATGCACACGTATGTTTATTGCAGCACTATTCACAAAAGCAAAGACTTGGAACCAACCCAAATGTCCATCAATGATAGACTGGATTAAGAAAATGTGGCACATATACACCATGAAATACTATGGAGCCATAAAAAAGGATGAGTTCATGTCCTTTGTATGGACATGGATGAAGCTGGAAACCATCATTCTGCACAAACTATCACAAGGAGAGAAAACCAAACACCGCCATGTTCTCACTCACCGGTGGGAATTGAACAATGAGAACACTTGAACACTGGGCGGGGAACATCACACACCGGGGCCTGTTGTGGGCAGGGGAAGGGATAACACTAGGAGAAATACCTAATGTAAAAGACAAGTTAATGGGTGCCACAAACCTCCATGGCACACGTATACCTATGTAACAAACCTACACTTTGTGCACATGTACCCTAGAACTTAAAGTACAAAAAAAAAGAAGATTGAGAAATTATACTCCACCTCTTGAGGGTGGAGTATCTACATAAATTATTTGGAATGTTTCCTCATGAGAAATTTATTCTCCCTATTTATTTATTCAATACTTTTTAGTAATTTATATCAGTATGGTATTATAATTCAACACTACTTAATTTTGTTGCTCAAATTGTTCCAACTTTGTCCACTAAGCTCTTTCATTTGGCTCCTGTATCCCTTTGACATACTCCCATTAGAGTGTGTGTGTGTATGTGTGTGTCTGTGTGTGTAACATTTTTTACATTCCAGAACTGCAAGATGCTCCAGGCTCATCTTAATCATTTCCTGCCTGAGTTCTAGGATCAGCCATTCCTCCAAGGAGCTTTGGTCCCTTTCTTTGGAAAATGGTATTAGAAACCAAGATTTGGACACTAGGTATGCTTATCACTGCTGGGATGTCACTGCTTCTAAGCCCTCTCACCTGAAAAAGCAAGGAAATATATGTGTGTATGCTAACCCCTATAAATACACATATCTATGAGTATTTCTGTGTGTATCCAATCTGTGCCTGTATTAAGCTAAACAGAAATTTATACCAATGTCTTTAATTTTCATCCACTGTTAGATGGATTGTTTTAGCCTTCTCCCTTTGCTTATCTGTAATTTCTCACTTCAGCAGTGAAAAACCTGGCTTCTACTATCTGCCATGCATTTATTTAATTTTTAAATTTCAGTATACATATACAATGGTTTGAACAACTTTATCAACTAGAGTTCAGTGCTTGTATATAGTTCCTTTTGCCTTTAGTGTTACAGGTTCTAAAGTTAATTAGATCAGCAACTTTTTCTTCCACTCCCTTCAGTGCAGTTCTGTTATACTTATATACATTTATACATTTGTAATATGATTTGATTATTTTGTCACAGTCTGCATTCCTTCAAATGATTTTTCAAAAATTTGCATATATTTTGGTTCATTCTTTGTGATCTAAAGTTCCATTAGTTTTGACAATGCATAATATCATGTGTTTACCATCACAATAGAATCACTGCTCTAAAAAGAATTCCCTGTTTTTCACCTAATAAACTCTCCTCATAGCCCCAAGTCCCTGATAACTATTGATCTATTAATCGTTTCTATAGTTTTGCCTTTACCATAATGTCATCTAAATGGAATCATAATGTCTGTAGACTTTTCATACTGACTTCTTTCACTAAGCAACAGGTGTTAAAGGTCCATCCATATCTTTTTAATCGAATTAGATATTAAAATGTATTTACTTCACTGTGACTTTAGTTGTGTTAGAATTAGTACTAATCGTAATAATAGAAGCAAGAAAAGAACACAATACTAATAGACAAAAGTGATTCACTCTGTTGAGAGAGGTTAGGAAAAATTTCACAAAGGAGGAAGAAAAACTTGGATTAAACTTTCTGTTTTAATGGTATTCATTGTAAAGGCAGTGACACACACACACACACACACACACACACACACACACAATCTCACTACCTTAATGGAAAAAGTGCGTTCATTTTGGTATATAGATTGCAGTACACATACACCGTTAGTAAAGTTTTATGTTTTTAACTTACTAATATTACTGAAACATTTTTCTTGTTTACATGTACTCTTCACAATTATAGTCTTGCATATGTTTTAAGCATATTTTTATTTTTATAAAATTTATACATGCCAACTGTAGATAATTAAGTAAATACAAAAAAGTATAAAAAGAAAAAAATGTATAATTCCATTACTCATCTGTAAAGGCAACATATTAGTGTATCTCCTACCAGACTTTAAATGGTTTTTAAAATTTTGCATATTTTTATTTTACCTAACATTATCATATTCTGTTATTTAAGACTGTTCACAATCATAAATTTAATGGCTGCATAACAGTAATTATTTGGATATTCCCCTATGCTCATGTTTCTATTCCGCTATTGTAAATAATCGTGATAATACTGTAACAAACATCTCTGTAAGTGAGTTTTCTTTTTTTTTTTTTTTTTTTTTTTTTTTTTTTGAGATGGAGTCTTGCTCTGTCACCCAGGCTGGAGTGCAGTGGCATGATCTCGGCTCACTGCAACTTCTGCCTCCTGAGTTCAAGCGATTCTCTTGCTTCAGCCTCTCGCGTAGCTGGGATTACAGGTGCCCACCATCACTCCCGGCTAATTTCTGTATTTTTAGTAGAGACAGGGTTGCACCATATTGTCCAGGCTGGTCTCGAACTCCTGACCTCAGGTGATCTGCCCTCCTTGGCCTCCCAAAGTGCTAGGATTACAGGCATGAGCCACCATGCTAGCCTGTAAATAAATTTTCTATATATTTTAATTAATTTTCTCCAGGAAGACTCCTGCAAGGAAAAATAAATCCCAAATCTCATTTCAGTTGTGATAATTTCAGCTGTAAGTGACAATAACCCTCAACTAAAAAAGCTTAAACAGTAAGAAATCTATTATATCATATAAAAAGAAGCCCAATGTTAGATTCATGGTTGCTTCATTCACTGATACAGTGATGCAATCAGGAATCCTTGTATTCTTCTTCAACCTCTTTCATCCTCAGGATTTTGGTTTTGGTTGCAGGCTTAGACCCTCATTGCTGCAATATGGTTGCTGTGGTTTCAGGTATCATACCGTTACCCAAATGCCACCAGGAAAGATGAGGGCAAGACACCAGATACTGACCCACCATGCTGAGGGCTTCGGATTTTCTTTCTGCTTGAGAAACTTCTGTTAGCCATTCTTTTAGAGCAGTTCTGCTAGTGAAAAATTCTTAGTTTTCCTTCCTCTGAGAATGTCTTTATTTCATCTTCATTTCTGGAGAACATTTTAACTGGATATAGGGTTCTGGATTGATACTTCTTTTATTTCCTCATGAAAAAATTTTGTGCCACTTCCCCATGGTTTCTAATGAGAAATCTTTTGTGAGTCTAAGAATTTTTCTAGTATAGATAAAGCATCATTTTTCTCTGACTGCTTTTAAGCTTTTTCTTAGTGTTTAGTTTTCAAAAATCTGATTATAATGTGTTTGAACCTGGACTATTTTTTTAGTTATTGTGTTAGAGATTTGCTCAACTTCTTGAATCTGCCGTTTATGTCTCTTGTTAAATTTAGGGAGATTTTAGCTATTATTTGCACAAATATTTTTTTCAGCCCTGCACTCTTTCTTCTGTCCTTTTGGGACTCAGATGGCACAAATGTTATATTATTTGTTATCATTCAGTAGGTTTTTGAGGCTCTGTTCATTGTTCTTTTTCCAATCTTTTTCCCCTGTTTTCAGATTGAATAATTTTTGTTGATGTATCTTCAAATTCACGGATTTTTAACTCTGTCATATTCATTTTGCTCTTCAATCAATAGGCAGGTGTTAAATTTCATTCAACATATTTTTCATTTCTAAAATTTCCATTTGGGTCTTCCTGATACCTTCTGTTTCTTTGTTGAGACTTTATATTTCTTCATTTGTTTCAAGAGAATTCAAAATCACTTGTTGAAACATTTTATGATGGCTGCTTCAAAATCCTTGTCAGATAATTTCAACATCTGTCCTTTCTTGGTGTAGGTGTCTTTTGATTGCTTTTTTCTCATTCAAATTGAGATTTTCATGGTTTTTGCCAGAATGGGTAATTTTATATTGTATCCTGAACATTATGAATACTAAGTATAAGACTCTGCTTTCTATTTAAATCTTCTATTTTAGCAAGGATTCAACCTTTTTATATAAAGAATGTACATCCTAGCCTAGTTTTGTGGGCTGTGATTCAAATGCCAATTTAGATTTCAAAGCCTTTGCAGTGTTATTCCGGTCTGCCACAGTTGTGTGCTTCCCAGAGACCAACTTGAATTCTGGGCAGTGTTTCAGAAGAGTGTTCAATTTTCAAACCCTTTGCTATGTTGTTTCTGGGGTTACATGCATGGACTTCTAAGAAGTTTTCTCAAGATTTCAACAGCTCCTTTCTTTCATTGGAAGGAGGAGTAACACCATTTCATTATTGTATGGCAGAGATAGAAGATAAGGCTCTGCCCACAGTCTCTAGGCTGCAGCATCTGGTGAGGAAGGGAAGATATATGGCTGCATTGCTTTTCTGTTGGTGTTCACCTGGAATAGAGCAGGTATGGTTAAAATGTTTATGTCCTGCTGGGCTGCTTTTTCCTCCATCCTTTGGCTAGGGCTTTTTGTCCTTTTGGGATCTGTGTGTGTGTATATATGTGCCTGTGTGTGGTTGTTGGTGTTTTAGGTTGTGCTCCTCTCCAAGACTAGGATACATAAGAGGCAAACAAAACAAAACAAAGACTAAGAGATTCATAGCTATGCCATTCTTCAAGTCCTGGAGACCCTAACCAGTCTGCTTTCTTTCCTCCAGTTTTGTCTTCTTTTACTTATGCTATGAATATTGTAAATAGTGGGAGGAATAGGATGAGTGAAATGTGTTTGCTCTATCTTGTTCTGACTGAAAACTCAGGACTTTGGATTCTTTGGGCAATGGGATACATTTGGATGTTTTTGAGTAAGGGAGGGACATCATTTGCGTAAGGGAGGGACATCATTTCTACATTTTAGAAATATTATGCTGCCTGTTGTTTAGGGAACTCACTGGGGCAGTGGTACATGTGGGGAGGATGGTGCATTGGACCAGAGAGTGGAGAAATGTGAGGAATTTGCAGAATTTTTACAGAATTTGCTGGTAAGAGAAAGAGGAATTAGTTTTTCCAAGTTTTTTTGGCTTGAGAAATTGAGGGAATGATTGTATCATTTACTGACATAGGGAATTCTGGGGCAGAAGCAGAGTTGGTATTAGACATGGAAATCGAGAGTCCAAATTTTAGATGTGTCCAGCTCAAGATGCTAGGTACCCAAACAAAGACATTGAGTGGGCAGTTGGCTATTCAAGTCAAGAGTTTAGGGGAGAAATCAGAGCTGCTTATATGTAAGTTTGTAAACCATGAGTCAGAAGATGATATTTAAAACCAAAAGAGTGGTTAGATTACTTAGGAGTGAGTGTAAACACAAAGGAGAAAAGATCTAAAACACTGAGTCCTGCATCTCCCTAACATAGTATCTGCATTGACACCTCAGTGGAATTTGACGTAGCTCATTATTTGCTTGTTCTAACATATCCTTTCTCCTCATTTCAGTGACATCATCTGCTCTCTAGGTTTTTCTCCAGTTTTTTAGGATGTCCCTTCTTATTATTGGCAGGTCTTCTCCCTGCCTTCCTGACCTATCCCTTAAAAATTATTTTATTTGGGGCCAGGCGCAGTGGCTCACACCTGTAATCTCAGCACTTTGGGAGGCTGAGGCGGGCGGATCACGAGATCAGGAGTTTGAGACCAGCCTGGCCAACATGGTGAAGCCCTGTCTCTACTAAAAATACAAAAATTAGCCAGGCTTGGTGGCATGTGGCTGTAATCTCAGCTACTTGGGAGGCTGAAGCAGAAGAATTACTTGAACCCAGGTGGAAGAGGTTACAGTGAGTCAAGATCACACTACTGCCTTCCAGTCTGGGTGACAGAGTAAGACTCCATCTTGGGAAAAAAAAAGTTTCATTTTGTTTTGTTTTGCTTTTTCTCCTATAAACTGTAGTCTCTAAATGCCATTTTCCACTGGGGCTTACAGAAATGGCTGATTCCAGGTCTGAAGCAGGAAATATTTGTAATACAAGCCAGGTTTATCTTTCATGCTAACAAATAAGAAAGCTACTGATGACCACTGGGGTTATGTCAAAGGGACACAGGGTCCAGCTGGAAAGAACTCTCATTGCATAGATTTGGGACAAGTTGAACATCAAAAATAATGATTACAATGGATTAAAACATATCAGGTATATTAAAATCTATGTGTTGATGATAGTACCAAAAAAGGTCACTTTTCAAGGATGCTAGGAAATCAACTCATTCTGAAAACTGGTAAATAAAAGGGAAGAGTCAAGTATTTATTTTGTCTTTCATATAAGAACTGTGCCTCAGGGTAATTAAAGATTTAATGTAGTAAAATTCTTCTTTGTGGAAAAATTCCAGCTAATAAATGTGGAGGGAATAATAGAATATCACCATTTTGCAAACTCTAATGAAATAATGGATTCAGGCAATGATAATAAATGGCTGATTAAAGATCAAGTTGACTACATCTGAATCCACTGATTAATTTAGTATCATAAAAAAAGACAACAAGACATTATGTGTCTCCTGATAGACACTAGCCACATGTGGCTATTGAGCATCTGAAATGTGGCTATGGAACTCATGTGCTATAAGTGTAAAATAAACACTAGATTTTTAAGACTTGATCTGAGAAAAGTAAAATGTTCCATTAATGTTTTAAAAGATTGATTAACTGTTGAAATGTTAAAATTTGGATATATTGGGATAAATAAAATATGTAATTAAAATTATTTTCAGCTGTTTTGTTTCACCTTTTTAAGATGTGGCTTTTAGAAAATTTAAAATTACATACATGATTTGGATTTTATTTCTGACTTGTTCACAATGGAGTCTTCAGTGGCCAGTACAGAGCTTGACACAGTTGTATAAATGAATGAAGTTGCTAATAGTTAAAATTATTTCATTATTTATTTATGTGATTTCATCTACTAGAAACTCAACCACAAATTGGGAGGAGCAGTGGGGAATGAGAGTGGTGGAAAGTGTATCAGATTTTAGAGAAAAGCAGTGGCTATGAGCCTGTAGATGTTCTGTAGTGGGAGACTGAAGACTATAAAAATGCTTGGTATTGTATTAGTTCATTCCCACACTGCTGTAAAGAACCACTTGAGAATGGGTAATTTATGAAGAAAAGAGTTTTAATTGACTCACAGTATGCAGACTTAATCAGAAGCATAACTGGGAGGCCTCAGGAAACTTACAATCATGGTGGAAGGTGAAGGGGAAGCAGACATATCTTACCACGGCAGAGCAGGAGAGAGAGAGAGAAGAGGGAAATGCCACACATTTCAAACCATCAGATGCCATAAGAATACACTCACTATCATAAGAACAGCAAAGGGTAAATCTGCCCCCATGATCCAATCACGTCCCACTAGGTTCTTCCCCTCGAATGTGGGGATTACAATTTGATGAGATTTGGGCAGGGCACATGAGCCAAACCATATCATGTATAAACCAGGTCTGTCTCAACTCTTTTTCCCAACTTCCACTCTAGTTTATCTCTCTACCTTTCTTACTTTTCTCACTTTTTCTTCACATCCTGCAATCTTTTGTTTTGTTTTGTTTTGTTTGTTTCATTTTCTTTTTTCAGTTTAAAAATCTATTGAGCCATTGACTAAGAATAAAACATATAATTTGAAATAAAAAGAAGCCTTATAACTAAAAGAGATCCTGGAATTTTAGGTAATTTTTCTTAACCTATTCCTCTTTTTTTAGTTCTTTCTGGCTGCTATAAAAAACTATCATGGATGGGGTGGCTTATAAGCAACGGACATTTATTTCTCACAATTCTAGAGTCTGGGAAATCCTACATCAAAGTGCTAACAGAGTTCAAGTCTGGAGAGCACCCATTTCCTGGTTTATAGACAACCATCTTCTTGTGTCCCCACATGGTAGAAGGGGCAAGGGAGCTCTCTGGGGTCTCTTTTTAAGAGCACAACCCCATTTATGAAGGCTCTGCCCTCATGACCTACTCATCTCCTAAAGGCCCCACTGTCTAATCACATTAGGAGTTAGGATTTCAACATATGAATTTGACAGGGACACATTCAGTCTATAGCACTCTCCTTCCCCCAAATTAAGGGGTTGTCCATTATGTTTTTTTTTCCTGGTGCTCATTTTGTAACAAATGCAATTCATTGAATGACACTACCTACCCTTTCATACCTACGTGTCATCTAAAGCCTATTAAAGACTTTTTAACCCCCAATACTTGAAAATTTCCCTTCGTTTATTGGTAATATGAGAAATATATATCATGATTGTAGCATTAAACATGTTTTAGGGTGATTAAAAAATATATGTAAGTAATACTCTCAGGGGCATGGAGGTAGAAGCCACAAAATGGCTTGAGAAAGAAGCCAAAGGGTGAGGAATGTGTGAGTGAATCATCTATCACTGAACCTGCACATTCTCACGTTTAGCAAATATTAATCCACCTTTTAGAAGTCTTATGGTGTGACTTTATTAATGATTTGAAAAGTTTAGAATTCACAACTATAGAATGTAGATTTTCACATATAAATATGAAACTATATTACAAAAATTTTTGCAATACCCATTCCTTTAGCCTCCTTTAGAACTTAGAACTTTCCCTTTCCTTTCTTACATGGTAATTCTCCCAAGTTTTGCTAGGAAACCAGCTAGATAGTTAGTTGACCCTCAAATGTTGATGAGTATATTACATATTCAAGAAACTAATTTTTATTTTAACAGGAGTCTCTAAACACAGTTGTTTCTTGTGAAACAACACATTAATACCGAATTATTATTGGTGAGAGGGGTATTTTTGGACCGCCTTAAGTTTTGCTCACAGTATTTAAAGGCACTGGTGTTTTGACTGTTCCATGTCTACTGCCCCAGGCCTGGCTTTATCTGATTAGGCCAGGTTCATATGTGAGAAAAGAACTACATTTGCACAGAGTAAATGGAACTTTGAGTCTAAACATTATGAGCTCTGTCACAGCAACTATGTGTGTGTAGAGTATCCCGGTTGTGAGATCTAACACTCTGAGTCTGAATCTGGGGCACATTACTTACTCGACATTGGGCAAATTACTTGTCTCTTCTGTAAAACTGATAAAATATTGACGTCTGTCTCAAAAGATTATTGTTGAAATTCAATGAATTAATACCTATCAAGTGCTTAGAATAGTTCCTGGCCTTTGGTAAGTGTTTAGCCTCAGCTATTATTATATGAGAGATACCAATAGAATATGTCTGGATTTCTCATGTGGATATCCTCAGGTCTAATTCATTTATTTGTTCCTGCCATGTTACAGTCAATTTAGAAGCAGTTTAAAACTTGACTCACATTAGGTATTATTCACATAATGAATGTCGGTAAACAGTTATAGTTTTCCAAATTATGCTTATGAAATTGAAATCTTGGACAGCGTATCTAGGTTACAATAATATAAAGGTATTATAAATAGTTGAAAATAATCTAC